GAGACATCGAAATGAAGCAGGGAGACCACAAAACCACAAAACGCGCAAAACCATCATTTAAATAGGGCGTCTCCAACAGTTTTGCACATGCCACCAGTTACGCAATCGCTCTTGTTAAATCACCCGCAAACCATGGTTCAGCCCCTCGCGCAAAATTCCAGTTTGCGAGCACAAATTACTGCACGCAAAATTGGATCTTGATAAATCCGGCCCTCTGTGTACAAAATGACAATAGAAGATGTCTAAGTTTTTCACCAGGAGCTGGTTTCCTGCATCCTTTAGATGTTTCCCTGACTCAGCACGTCTTAATTTAATGAATATGTCATTATATGTGTGTCCTGCAGGACAGCGGCCATTAAGGATGTGAGTTCCATCCATTTACTGTCTGTTTGCTCCTCCACAGGCCCTGGAAGTGATTCGGCAGCTGAAGGAGAGCATGGAGATCCAGAGAGCCCACATGAGGCTGCGGCTGGTGATACCGGCCAAGGAGGCCAAGAGGCTGAAGGAGAAGCTCAAACCTCTCCTGCAGGTGGTTGAGAGCGAAGAGTTCGACGAAGAGCTGGAAATGGTCGGTTTACTGCTGCAGCTCGGTAAAGAGGAACGATTCAGGAAGTCTAAGATCACGATCAAACCCTCGTCTTCATCTTCCCTCTCAGGTTTGTCTGGTGGATCCTGGCTGCTTCAGGGAGATCGATGAGCTGATCCGCTGTGAAACCAAAGGCCGCGGATCTCTGGAGGTTGTCAGCCTGAAAGATGTGGAGGAAGGAGACGAGAAGCTGTAGGCGCTCACCGAGCTTAACACCTCACTGGAGCGCAAAGCCTAAAACTGCTAACAAAACAGACTGTTTATTGTCTAATTCACCTTATATTCAGCCTTGCAAAACAGCAGCTATGTTTAAAAACAAACTCTAATTTAATGCTGAAAAGAGTGGATTTTAAAGCAGGGTTCAGCTCTGAAAATGTACAAATGGACGGTCAGTAATAGGATCTGACTTACATTTTCATATTTATTATATTTTTGTCCTGGGTGGGACTTTTTTTGACTCTAGCTTCTATTTGCATTGCTTTCTTTATAGACCCAGAAATATATTTACCTGCAACAATTAATCCTGCTCTGAAGCTAAACTTCACAATGATTGTTTTGGTTTGTTTAAACACAGATTGTACAAATATAAAATAAATAGAATGGGTATAACAGCAAATAATTATACACATCATTGCACTTTGGTCGCCCCTGGTAGAAATTTGTCAGATAAACTAATCACAATATATTGCGAGGGAATAAAACAATCATATAGACATAGTCATATTTTTGCAGTATGACCTTAACAATATGACTAACACATTTTACAGAATATTTGTTTCCCATTTCTTTAAAGGATTGAAATAAAGTGACACTAAGGCCCTTTTAAGCCGCTCTGAAATAGCAAAGACTGGAGATGATTGTATTTAGAAACATTCTCTGACTGTATGGCACCACTAACTTTAAAATAAGGCAATTAAAGTAAAAATCTGGTAGCCTCTGTCATTAAAAAGGAATTCCGATAGATATTTGATCACTTTTATGATCTAAAACATTAGGTCAAATCTACACTATCAGGGCCCAACACACAAAACCAGAATCACTTCAGTTTGACTTCAGGCTTTTTAGCCAGCTTTATCAGGAGGCAGATATTACCGGTAATCCTGGATTCATCTAGTGTTCCTGAAGAAAGCATCAAATATTGAACAAATAAGGAAAGCAAAACCTTTATTATCATTTTTAAGAATTCGCACACAGAGGAAAAAAATTCAAACACATGGTAAATCTAAAGTTTAAATGAGACATTTTGTTTTATCTGATGTAAGGCTTACATACAGAAAGAAAAAAGGGCAGAAACTTAAGTTTCAGTTTGTCACACTTCTGTATCTTTCACTGTCAAGTTTAATCAAATAAAGTTAAAAACATATTTAACAATAAATTGAGTTTGTTTCCTTTTATCCTGTACAAAGACCTCTATCTGATACGTCCACTTTTTGGGGATTAAGTCAGAAAGTCCAGGTTAATTTGATGAAAACTCGAGGATCTTATTGGAACTTCTGACACTTTTAAAACATAGAAATATCAGAAAGAATATGAATTACAGTATTTCTGGATTTGAGATGATGGAGTCCACATCACCAACCTTTAAAGGAAGACTAAAAACAGACTATCTGTGAGGAAGATGGAGGGCGGGCGTTCAAAATATTTAGCTCTTCCAGTGTTCCGTTCTAGGTGCCCAAAAGTGCATCATCTCAGATCCTCCCTCTTAGCAGATATCAGACTTTACAACTAAAACAGCTAACAAAACCCAATACATTGTTTATATTCATATTATTATCTTTCCATTTGAATGATAATTAGCTGTTTTTTATTAACTTAGATAAATCACAGGTCTGCATATTTCACCTATCATTGTTTTTTTAATGCTAAAACCTTGTTTTCTCTACTAAGGGATACTAATTCATCCCACTCTGTTCTATTTCTAATAACTTAAGTATCTACAAAAATGTTTGGTCTTTATATCAAAGTTTTCCTCTGTTCTGTAAAAATTGTTGGTAAGCAATAAATTAGGATTATGTCACTTTTGTCCATTTTGTCTTAGTGCTAAAGAAGGATACTCTGCATCATTTCTCCTGTTTATTTGATGTGCTTTTCTCTATTGATCCTCTACATTCCTCTTTTATCATTACATTGTATCTGATCCCAGCACATCCAAGCATTCCAGTTTGACATAAACTAAACCAAATATATCAAACAGAAGTATTTCTCAGTCATTTTTTATAAAGGAAAGTCAAACTCTGAGCAGCCAGATATGAAATATAAGTGATCCTGCTCTATAAAGTGACAATTTCTGCGCCGATTCTTCTGAGACATCCCTCCTACAATAAAATAAACTTCCAATTCAGTGCAGCCAGTTTTTAATCTGCAGATGCAGTAGCAGTTAGTTTTAAGGAGTTTACATAACGGTCGTTAAACTTTATTGGAATAAACCACCAGATGTGTTCTTGTTAATGCAACAAACCAAACAGAGCCGTTATTTTCCTGCAGTTTTCAAGCCTGGAAATTATCATTCAAACATACAGTAAAACATACAGTAAATGTAGAAGAAAACACAGCAGAAGAAAAAAAAATCCATGTTAATAATAAAGTGAATGTGGTTCTGCTCATTGAAGGTAATTCTAACCAAATATTTCTAAAAAGTGCAACCACACATCTTCCTGAGCAGATCATCTATGTGCATTCATTTCACTTTTCAGCAGTCCATTTAAATATTGCCCTCCAGTCCCCTCAGATGGCCTGTGATCTACGGTTGTATTGGCTGTTTGTGAATGCAGTTCTGTTGATGGTGTTCAGCGGGTTACTGGCCTCCTCCTCGGGGCTCAGGCTCCTGCCGGGCTGCTCCCCCTGCCCCCCTGCAGTGGGGCATCTGGTGGTTAAAAACACACCACCAACCAGCATCAGGCCAAAGGAGATCCATCCAAGGTACAGAGCAGGTCCCCAGTCTCTCCTCAGTGACACAGCGCCCTCCAGTGGCTGACTGGTGTGATGGCAGGTCCATGCAGTGGGAACCAGCAACAGGATACCTGCCACAATAAAGAAACTCCCAGAAAACACTTTGATCTGGCCTCGCTTTGGAAACCACACCAACCCCACTGCTCCAACCACTGCTGCGAATCCCCCGACTCCAATGGCGGCCATGATCAGGGCTCTCCACGTGCGAAAACTTCCAGACAGAGACATCAGAGACTGGTAGAAAGAGCAGTGCAGGCTGCCATCATGAGCCAGATCCCAGTGATCCCATTGTAGCCACACCCCATCCCAGTAGGCAGGCAGGCTGGCTGTGGTGTTGTCCACGGTCCCGCTTACCTTCCACAGGGCCAGGCAGCGTGTAAGAATGGCAGCCAGCCATCCTGTGGTGGCCACACCGAGGGCAGCGATCTCCAGCTCCCTCTTCATGACTCCGGCCTCGTTGGTCCTCCTCCTCTCTGTTGCCGGGTCTGGCTGCCAAAACTGAAACAGCTGGCAGGAGAGAGCAGCGAGAAGGGGAGAGGACGGGGCGGGCTGTTATTTTAATGTTCACATGTGCAGCACAAACACTGCTGGGTTTGTGTGTCTGTTTTGCATGTCTGTTCAGAGAGGAGGGAACCAGTTCTCTGGCATTCTTGAAAAGAAGGCACTGAGTTGGCTGCAGCTGGGTGGAGCAGGGAAATCCCTCTGTTTTCTCTGCCATGGTTTCAAAACAATCCATTTATCCCTGATTCTAGAGAGGAGAAAACAAAGCTTCCTTTGTCCACCGAGGCTTCAACCGCTGGGCCTTGACTCTGAGAGGAAACTCGATTTATAAAACTAAATTCAGACAGCATGGAAGTTTAGGTGTGAGCTTGGCAAATCTGAAGAGTGAAGTTGGCCTGTTTTCAGTCACAAGTTCAAACTTGTCAAGGCTTCATATTTTCCCTGCTGCAGACTGGATTATTCATCTGTTAGACTTTGGAATTTGAAAGGAAACTTCAGGACAATAAATCTAACAAGACACCCATATTCTTTAGCCTTTATTTCCCTCAATGTAATACTGTATTCCTTTTTTTTTATTGTTACACACAAATGTTTGACTTTATCAGCTAGGACAATAAATCTATGAAGTGTAAACCTCATAAGTCCTGAATGTATAAAAGTAATTCGTGTCTGGAGGTGTATAGGGAGTGGACTAGCAGACGCCGGTGCTCCTTGCTCAGAATGAGTTCAGGTTAGAGCTAAAGACCATAAATATTCTATTCAATTCAGTTTATTTATACAGTGCCAATTTACAACACATGTTATCTCAATGCACTTTACAGTTCAACCAGATCTTATAGTCAGATTAGTTCAAAGTTTTCTATCTAAGTAGAACCAATTGATTGTATCGGCTGATTGACTCATCAGCAACCCCTCACACCGAGCATGCTTGTAGTGACAGTGGGGAGAAAAGGTCCCTTGGAACAGGAAGAAACCTCCAGCAGAACCAGGCTCAGTGTGAGCGGCCATCTGCCAAGGCCGACTGGGGTTCAAGGAGACAGAAGCAGAGATAGAAAAGGCAACTGTAAACCAGCTCCACAGACAGCCCCATCCAGGAAACACACAGCCAGGCAGACAAGGTCCGAGCCAGCCACTATGTCAGAGGATGAAGGGGAGCACAACCAGCCAGTCGTACTTAGAGAAACAGGACTACTCTGAAAAAAAACAGGCCGATCTCCACGGCTATAAACAAAGGTGTTGATGGCAGCAACAATACTGATATTTCTCTCCAGTATGGAGTCACAGCCAAACAGGAACAGACGAGGCAATGCAACTTTGGGAAAAAGCAGAGAGAGCAGAACGTTAGAGAGTGAACCAATAGACTCGGCAGAGTGGGAGAATAGAGATAAAATGAAGCAGAATGATGAAATAGGGGTCCCTATGTCCTCCAGCAGTATATGCCTATAGCAGCATAACTATAGAGATAGCTTAGGATAACCTGAGCCACATTAACTGCAGTAAATAGGCAAACTAAGATTCAAAAATAATATTAAAACTTTAGCTTTCTAACTTTCTGCAAGGTTGAATCAAATCTTGATCATATTTACGATGCCGTCTGACTTTCTTTGTTAAACTAAAGGAAAGAACACAAAGCAACTGCTTTAACAAGATGTTTTGGTACAAATGGAGGTATTTCTGGCCTCAAACAGTATTTGGTTTGTTAGATGTAAAGTAAAAACAGAAACATGTGCAAACTGTTTAAGAGTCCTCTCAACATGAAAGGAACGACTTCTAACAGTGGCAGACGTGCATGTCTCATTTGATTAACAAATGTTGGAACTATGTCTGCAGAACTCCTATCAATTCTGCAGACATGAAAGGAAACCAGAGGTTGTATCAGTTCTATAATCAAACGTGGTCGTGGCGGTATTATGTGATCTTATTTGAAAGGAGTTAGAGAATATTTAATTCAATTAAGTTTATTTATATAGCGCCAATTAACATCAAAATATGCAATCTCAAGGTACTTTACAGTTCACCAGATCATACAGTCAAATTGATTCAAAGTTTTCTATCTAAGGAAAACCAGTTAATTGCATCGACTCATTGTCTTGAACTAAGCATGCTTGTAGTGACAGTGGAGAGGAAAAACTCCCTTTTAACAGGAAGAAACCTTCAGCAGAATCAGGCTCAGTGTGAGTGTCCATCTGCCGAGGCCGAGTGGAGTTCAAGGAGACAGAAGCAGGGATACAAAAAGCAACTGTAAAAGGCGGCCCCGTCCAGGAAACACACAGCCAGGCAGACAAGCTCCGAGCCAACTCCCATCTCAGAGAAACAGGACTACACTGAAAAACAGGCCGATCTCGAACATCTATAAACACAGGTGTTGATGGCAGCTGCGCAGCTGATATTACTCTCCAGGATGGAGTCACAGCCAAACAGGAACAGACCAGATGAAGCTACTATGAGAAAAAGCAGAGAGAGCAGAACGTTAGAGATTGAACTATCTGAACTACTACAGATTCTGCAGAGTGGGAGAATAGATGAAATAGGGGTCCCTATGTCCTCCAGCAGTCTTAGCTTATAGCAGCATAACTATAAATTTTTAAGCCCACCCTTAGGGTGTCTGCCTCATGGACTAAAACTGGTAGTAAAAGGTCTGCCTCCCATGCTACTCTTAGAAATTCTAGGAACCACTAGTAGACCTGCAGATTGAAAGAGAAGAGCTCTGTTAGGAACATAGAGAATGATCAGATCTCTGATATCAGATGGAGCTTGGCCATTTAAGGCTTGATATGTGAGAAGGAGGCTTTTAAATTCTATTCTGGATTTAATAGGAAGCCAATGTAGAGAAGCCAGGATAGGCGAGATATGATCTCTCTTTTTAATTTTCATCTGAACTCTGGCTGCAGCGTTTTGGATCAGCTGAAGGCTTTTAACTACAGTTTGTGGACTTCCTGATAGTAAAGAATTACAATTACAATAGTCCAGCCTTGAAGTATCAGATACATGGACTATTTTCTCAGAACCCTGGTCAGGATATTTCTAATTTTTGCAATATTCTGGAGATGAAAAAAGGAAATTCTAGAAACCTATTTGATATGGAATTTAAATTACAGGTCCTGATCAATAATGACACCAAGATTTTTTACTTTATTATCTGAGATCAATTTATTCGATCCAAATTAAGTGGCTGACTCATCAGCTTCTTTTTCAAAGACTCTGGTCCAAAGACGGTAACTACTGATACAAGTCCATTATCTGAGGCCCTGAGAATATCATTGTTCACTGTTGCTGAACAGGAGAGCTCCTTCAGTGACAGACTGCTGCACCCTAAATGCACCAGGGAGCGTTATCACAGATCCTTTCTCCTAGCAGCTGTAAGAATTTATAACCACCACTGTTCCCTATAGCCTTAATAAGTCTTACATTCATACGGATTTTTGGAGAGTTTCTGTCTTAGTTAAATGACATAACATTTTGTACATCTGATGTTGCTGCTATTCATCACATATCCATTACTGTAAAAATGTCCACAGCTGTTTATTGACTATTTTACTCTCCAGATACAGAGCATTTATATTGCAAAAACACTGTACATTAAAGTACTTATTTATTTTCTTAACTGTTACTGTTACTTATTTTGTTATTTATATTGTGTATATATATTTATACACTTTCTAAGGTCCACATTGTGTGACCTCTTCTGCTATAACATTTTGCTGCTGTAGCACCACAGTTTCTCTGTTGTGGGACAATAAAGGGAATTTTTATTCTATTATATTCTATTCTAAAAACAATCTGCAAAAAGAGGGGCTTTTTAAAAAAAGAATATAACTAAACTACCCCTAAACAAACACAGAATATGTTACCATAATTAGTTATTTCCTCTTATTTATTTAACTTAATCAGCATGTCTTTGAAGTTTACCAGACTTTTCAAAAGACTAAGAAAATAGAGACATTTAGTGAACAATGGCCTCATTGTTCATTCATTCTTAACAAAGAACTCCAATGATGGGAACCTATAAGGTGGCCTGTTAATGCTACCTCAAAGAAATAATATCTGTTTATCTAATAAAGATTATTCTGAAACTTGATTGTTTAAAAACCTAAACTTTTCCAAATTTACCTTTAGATTTGTTTTTCTGCTCAAGCAAAAATGATTTAGAATTTGGTTGAAGGGATAGAAGATTTTCATACAATAAAGCCTACTGCTTATAGTATTAGTTTCTATGAAGATAACATGTCTGTAAATAAAATAAAAAATGCTTGAAATAAAAAAATCTTTCTTCTCTTTTCTTTTTTACTTTATTTTTTTATGACTCTTAGGTTTGTTGTCAAATAAGCCCATTATCACATTATTTTATCAAATTTATCACATTATTTTAACAGTTTGCCTAATTTAGGTGTTAGATTCCTGCATTTGAAGAAAAATAATCTTAAAAAAATCTTGGAAAAACCGATTTGTTTTCAAATAATGAATTTAAGCAAAACAATTAATTTATATCTTCCACCCCAATATCCAACTTGTGATAGTTTATGGTATAACCAATGGCTTTTCCAACAAAAACATCTTGCTTTTTGCAACACCATATTTTTGAGATAATGCTAGAAAGCTTTGTTGCATTTATATTGTTCTTGTACATCATGGTTTTTCAAATAGATTTTGAAAATATCCCAGTCTCCATTGTCCTACAGGAAAAAGAGGGTCTGCATGAAGCAGCTCTATGTTTATGGTGGTGGAAACCAGCAAAGGAAGCATCAAAGTTAAAAGCAATGATGATGGTTGAACCTTTTTTACACTCAAGGTAACTAGTTTAACAATTGTTGACAGTTATGGAGACAAAAATCTCACAAAATTAAGACCCTCATTTGACATTTTTAACACCCCTGAATCAAATGAGTGGTTTGTTACCATGCCTACCATTCTGAGCCAAATGAGGGGATTGAGCCTTTAGATTCAGCATTTGAGGAGAAATGCATCTAAAAGTTACAGGACGGCAGCTCTTTAGGACTGGACTTGAGCACCCCTGATCTAGGCTTATTTGGTATAATCTTTCCATTATCGAATGGAAATTACATGAGTCAGAAAACATTAATAAGAAAGCTTTTTAGAAACAAGAAAGGAAGGGCAGCTATCTTCTCTCTCTGGTCACTGTAAAGTAGTGTTTTAACCATTTCCTTAAAAAAAAACTGCAACACTGATGGGATAGATTATATATATTTTAGAAATGATGATCTGAAAAGACCCAAAAATGTTTCTTAAAGATCTTTTATTTAGATTTATTTTTACTTACTACACAGAGATTGTAATTAAGCAGAAAGCATCATAATAGGCATAAACAAAATAAATCTTAAGGTGAACAAGATTTCAGTTTTTGTGTCTTGTTGTCTAGGTTCCTGTCTTCATACATAGTTTTTGATGGCATAGCTGCTTCGTGTGGGAGTCTTGGCTAACTGGTACCCACTGGAGGGGAATCTGGATCTCTCTTGTGGACAGGTTGCACAAAGAATGGCGCCTCCACAGAAGAGCAGCCCAGATGTTACAAATCCTATGTAAATGGCTGCTCCAAGCTCTCTCTTTAGCACCTCAGGTACTCTGGGGTTGTGGAAATCTGTGATGATGGTGTTGGCGGTCCAAGCGACAGCTACTATTGTAGTGAGGGCTGAGAGGCAGAAGATGACCCCAGAGCTGAGCACCACCCGGGCTTTGATTCGGGGGTGGCTCAGGCAGTTGGTGCACCGAGCTCCCAGGATAAAGATGAGAAACCCCAAACATCCCAACACCATGCTGACGCAAATAAGGCCGCGGGTTGCCTGGAGTTCAGGTGAAAGGTCCAGGAGGGCATCGTAGAGCTTGCACTGCATCTGACCGGTGTACTCACTGACGCAGGTCATCCACAGGCCTTCCCAGAACACTTGCATTACCACCAAATGGGTGCCGATGAATGCGGTGACCTTCCACATGGGCAGGCCACAGATCAACATGGTACCAGCGACACCCGCCATGGACAGACTTATGCCCAACTCCTGTAGAGCCATGGGAAACTGGAAGCTCACACCCTATCAAACACAAAACAAAAAGAAAAAAAAACTTGCTTGAAATCAGAACATTTTGACACTCACATTTTTACCCAATTCTGTTGCAAACTTCTTGGGGTTGATGATGAAAGTGTTTTCTTCTAAAAACAGACTTCTACAAACAAAAGTTACACAGATAAAACTAAACATTGAATTTATTAGCAAACTACTTTAAGTTGAAATAACAGGGGAAATTAGGTAAATGTCGCATATCAAAACTGAAAGTTAGAATTGATTATGTTGATGTCAATCTAAATATATTTAGTACATGTTTTGCGGCATGATTCCAAGTGGCCACTAGAGGGCGCAAGGGGACAACAGAAAAGACTACAAACAAAGCTTAGTAGTAGATAATAAGTGAATGCAGTAATAATTCTTTTGCATGGCCACGGGTTTGAATGATTACTTTATGTATATTCAAGCAGGCAGATTTTAATGAGAGCTTTGTGTCTCGAAAGCTTCTTAAACTATAGATTGCCAGCATTATTAGTAGTTTTTACATTTTCACAGATTTTGCTCTTGTATTGATAGAATCATAACATACCACACCCTCCAATCAAAACCACAGTTTTCACTCGTACAACTGTATTTCCTGTGTGGTCACACTTTTTTCTCACTTGTAACATTTCAGAAGATTAAAGTATAAACAGATAGGGACATTTCTCATCCTTGATTTTTTTTTAACATGCTTCAAGAATGGGTTTGTCTCTTCCTTTGAGGTTATATAACGGGTTCCCCAAAGGTTTTCTATAAAAAGTTATAAAATCTGGGAACTCAGATATGGGAAGTGGTATTGTGCGTCAGTTTAACTCCATGGGTTTAGAGTCACTCTCCAGCTGAAAGAGAAAGAGTAATAAATTTCTTTTTCAGGAGAAGGCTAAGTGTAAGCATTAGCATTACCTATTGCAGAACAGAAAGGATTTTCCTGGTTTGATGGCCCCCTATGCTCTCTTTCCCCCACCATGATGTTTGTTTTCAAGTTTCTTCTCTTCCCTGGTGGCAAAACAAAGTTGGATCCTTCCCCAGCTTTGTTTAAAATGTTTAAATTGTTGCTCTGTTGGGTGACTGATCTGTATCCACAGACATCTGATGAGAATTAAATATATTTTTTTATATTGTAGAAAGCGTTTTAAAGAAACCAAACTATGATATTTATGAAGTAGGAAAAAGGGAAGCCTATCAGGTTCTTTTAAGACTTTATGATCAACATCTAACAACAAAATGTGATAAAACAATATTTTTCTTATAATTATTTAAAGGGATTATTGATGATGATTACAACTGTTAGACCAGCAATCAATAATAAATCAGCAATTCAATATTTTCTACCAATTAAATACATTTATTCAAATAAAATGTTTGTGTTAAGATATCTGACTGTAATAATAGATCATATTTAATGTGTTTTTTTTTTTGTTTTTTTTTTCGCAGATTCTAACCAGTTCTGCCTAAGAAGATGTTAGGGCGGCGGCTATAGGTCAGTTAGAAAACCCCTTTTTTTTCCAAACGAGGAACATTATAACATTGGGATATAAACTGGTTATCCTTAGTTGACAACACATCTATAGGTGTTTTACTGTAGGTGCATAATGGCTTCTGAGTAATTACTTGTGAACAATACTAAGGAATCAGATTTCCAGGAAATAGCCTACTTCCTGGAAAAGAAACAATTGTCAAGGCTTAAAAGAAGAGTTTAGAGTTCATACTAACGATTAAAAGATACTATCAATAATTATTTTATTCATTTCCCTATGATCATTTCATTCCTTTAATTTTACTTTTCCATTGTATTTAGTTTTACATTTTTCTTTCTTTCAAACTATTCCACTGCAAATATACGTTCCTCTCATTTATCTGCTGCTGTCATTTCTTTGTTCTGTTTTTTTCATGTGTAGCACTTTGACTTGTCCTCCGACTGAAATATGCTCCATAAACAAACTCAACTGATCTCACCTAAACACTGAATTAAACCCAATATAAATTATGATGCTCATTTGTGAATCCAGACATCTTTCATGTGGGCTTATAGAGAGATTTGTCCTCTTTTTAAGCAATAATCTATCAAAAATAATATTAAATCTTGATCTATCTAATTTGTAGTTAATGTGTGTGTAGAGGAGGAAGTGTCATGCTGAATGTCGTAGGGTGACTATGTAATTCGACTCCTTCCTCATTATCTGTAGTGCACTTGTGATTGTATGTAAAAACATTGATCCCACCAGTGTGATGGGATCAATGTTTTTACATTGATCCTATCACGCTGGTGGGGCTGTCAACTAAAACAATCAATTCTGATTAAAAAATCTAAATTTGAATTAAATTGTTTGTGAGTCCAAATATTTCTTATTATTTGTAAAGGCAACAATCTTTTAATTTATTTCCTTTAAATTTTCCATGGATGCAGGACACTGAAAGGTTTTTAGTAAATCCTGCTTCACTAAGCGCTGATGAGTCAACAGGAACATGATTATCTAAGGCTCTCCTTCAGTTCCTGGGATTTGAATCTGGTAGGTACCCGACAAACCGGTTTCTGCTTTGTTTGGTCTAAATATCACTCCGGGCAGGTTTTAAAAACAAGCAAACAAATGTCCTCACTAAAAACATTTGCAACACAAGTTCCTTTTAATGAAAGAGAATAAAATAGCCATAGTTCTCTTAAGATAAATTTGTGTACAAATGAAACCAGACAAATAATAGTAAATAAAGTTTCTGCAACATAAATCTAACACAACATATGCATATTTTAAGACAAAACGTAATACAGTCACAAACAGAAAAGGTCTTCATTTACATTTTATTCTCATAAAATAAAAGTGCAGATTTCCTTCATTTTTTAGTTAAATGTGAGCTTTTTTCCCCTCTATGACACGTGTAAGTCTTCCTCTAACAGACCAAACATCCAGTTTTCTCAAATATATGTCTTTGTTGGTGTGGAAGATCGGTATGAATCTCCGTTGCTGTTTCTTCCAGATCCTTTTAAGAGGTATTTTACAGAGGGGGCTCGTTCCTCCTTAGGGGGGCAACTGGCACACAGCATTCCTCCTCCAAGGATCAGTAAAACTGCAGCTCCCCAGCCGATGTACAGAGATGCCCCAATCTCTCTTTTTTGTGCATCCACCAATAGAGGATTGTAGAAATCCTGTATGATGATGCTGGCAGTCCAGGATACGGGGATGAGGCAGAGGACTCCGCTGATGATCAGGATCGCCCCTGCGGCCACCATGGCCTTAGCTTTGACCCTCTCCTCTGGTATGAAGTTAGTGCATTTTCCTCCAACAAAAGCAATCAGAAGTCCTACAACACCAACGATGATGGAAACCACCACCAGAGCTCGGGCCCCCTGAAGGTCGTTGCTCAAAGCCAGCATAGAGTCGTACACCTTGCACTGCATCTGGCCTGTGCTCTGTACCACACAGCTCATCCAGATGCCCTCCCACATGGTCTGTGAAGTCACTATGTTGTTGCCGATGAAAGCTGTGACCCGCCACGTGGGCGTAGCGCAGACGATAAGCACCCCGATCCACCCGAAAAGCGCCAGACTGCAGCCAGTCATCTGCATTCCCATGGAAGCCATCGCTGTGCATCTCTTAGCGTCTCTGACGGTACAATGAGAGCAGCTCAGGTGTAAGAGAGCATCAGGAGCCGCAGAAGAATGGGAGGTGTGAGAGCCAACCTATTGAGGAAACACTAGAAGACCTGCCTAATGAATCCACCCCTGCAGGTGGTTTTTGTGTTTAATGACAATAAAGGTCGGGGTTTCAACATTTTTCTGAGTATAGATGAGCCAGGATGTAGCCTCAGCTGTTCCTGGAATATTAATAGTAAGAATGCACGCTACAAAAATGGTATCAGCTCTGAAATGTTGATAGTTTGTCTGTTAGAGCAGAAGAAGTGTTTGGCAGAAAACTCTAAGAGTAATACGAATGCTAGGTGTTTAAGTTTCTGTAGAGAGAAGGTTTGAAAGATTACTCACAGACAGCTCACCTTAAAGAGTAGGCTTGTGGCTTTCATCCTATTATTCTGAAATATTCTACAATTTTAAATCTGGAAAACTGTAGAAGAATTGTTACAATCTTTTTTCACAATTGTTGAAGGTATGAAACCATGTCATGCATACTATTGGCTAAAATGATTCATTTTCATGAACTTATTAAGTAGGCAGTCATTTATGTGGCACTAAAAGGCCGACATTACCTCACTCATGGCTTTTGAATGCATTCCAGCTTCAACACACCTGAAACAAAAGGCCAGATTACCTCCTTGGCATATCGGTAAGTTTATCAGAGGCATCAAGCAATCATTTGTTTCAGGTGTGCTGCAGGGATGTATGCAAAACCTACAGGACAATGGCATTTGAGGGTTGACGTTCGTGCTTCAGTCTCTACTTGTGTCTTATGCCACTTGGCATCAAATACTGTACTGTATTTACAAATACTGTCATTTCTTCTTCTCAGTTAGACTTTTCCTCTTTTTTTAACACCTCTCTTGACTGTTGCTTGGCTCTGTTATTCATACCCCTGGTTACATGCTCTGGCTTTGGCAAATACATAACATTTTTATGATTTCTCAAAAATAGAGCAAAAATAAAGCGAAACAAAGAATTTAAAATATAATATATTTTAAAAACACTTGAAAGTGCAAGAGCTTTATTTTTATGAGATGGAAGATTAAAAAGCTGGAATGAACCTACTGTATGTAAAAATCTACGAGATTAAGTGTTCATACTTTGGATTCATACTTCCTTTGGGTTATCATGGTCCTTGGCAAACTATGTTTTCAACAAGAAAGATGTTAAAGAGCAATTTTAAAAAGACACCAAAGCAAAATCACGTATATCAGCCAAGCATTTAGTCTTATCGTCTGTCCAATTTTCTTAGAAGGCTCTTTAAATTAAAACATGTGCTGAGACAGGTTATATCATTAAAATGTACAAATGTAAATCTGTTCTGCAGACAACAAGTAACACGGTTTTTATTCCTATTGTTTACCTAGTTTTATTTATGTATGGAATAGATACGTTTTTTTATTTTTATTTTTTTTATATTCTATTTTAGATACTCTAGTTACTAAATGAATATTGTGTTGGTGAGAATTGGTGAAATTAGCTGTGAATGTAAATGAAGCTTAGCTCAAACAATCTTTCATGTTGACATTTTGTCATCGAGGCTAATACCACTTTATCAATGTCCAATATATGGTTTTAGGTAAATAACATTCCAGAATCTGCAAACACTAACCACACGGAAAATTTGAATGATGTGATTCGCACACCTCAGAGATGTCACACATTCAACATATATGGGCATTAACTGCTACGTGAACTTGATGATAATATTACCTGCCCTACACTATGCAGATGTTCTGTCTGTGCTGATGAAATGTATAAACTAAACTCAAACAGCAGGCTAATTCAAACTTTTTTTAATGATTTACATACCCTGCCTTAAAAAACTTAAAACCTGCCAATCTAAATAAAAATGAGACAAAATCTTAGCTTCTCTTGAGCCTTGAGCCTCTTCTAAGTTAAAAGTGTGGAACTACGACAAGCATTTTGAAGGAAGAAGTGCTGGTCCCTATGGATGAAGATGCCCTCTGATTTCTGTGATCCACTATTTGCAATGAGCTTCTAATTGCAAATTTGGACAGAGGTCAAGACACTTTGTCACATTTTGTCATAATGAAGTCAAAACTTAATGGTTAGGTCCTGAACTTTCGAAACCATAATGGACCAAGTACCATACCATACCATACCATACCGTACTGTAACGTACCATACTATCCCATACCGTACCGTACCATACCATACCATACCATACCATACCATACCATACCATACCATACCATACCATACCATACCATACCATATCATACCATACCATACCATACCATACCATACTATATAAAATGTATTTATAAAGCACTTTCAATGCCCAACAGGACAAAAGTGCTTTACAAAATCAGAAAATACACATAATCAATCATCGAAATTAATAAATAAAATGGTGTATAAAAGTAGTAATAAAATAAAAAGCAATAACAGAACAATTAATGAAACACATTAAGACAAAGTCAACATCTCAGATTGTGAAATGGGTCATAAGAAGAGATTTAAAATCAGAAAGTGAAGAGTCTAATGGCCAAGAAAGATCATTCCAGAGACTGCAACAGAAAAAGCAATGTCTCCTCTGAGCTTGCATTTTGTCTTTGGCATCCTCAGTAAAAACTGGTCAGCTGATCTAAGGAAGCCAGAGGGTGTATATGGATGAAGCAGCTCAGACAGGTAAGGTGGGATAAGACCATTAAGATCGTTAAAAGCAAATAAACAGATTTTAGATAAATCCTGAAATGTACTGGCAGCCAATGTAATGAGGCTGAAATAGAGGGAATATCATAAAACGTACTTGCAGCAGCATTCTGTACCCTCTAAAGCTGGGAAATGCATGAATCACCGGTACCCTTATAACATGTATCACAGTAATCCAGCCGAGTGGTTACAAAGGCTTTGACCACTGTTTCAAAATGCTGACGTAAACCTGTGCTAGCTGCCTCAAGCGTAAGATGCTGGATTTGACAACAGCTCTAATGTGAGATTCAAACTTGAGACCAGCATCTGTTTCAACCCCTAAACTGGTATTAATAGGCCTGACATGCCTGGCCAAAGATCCAATATCAATCAGGGAGTCTTCACTGGATCTGCCAAAAATCACCACCATGGTTTTTTCTTCATTGAGTTTTGAGAAATTTAGGGACACCCGGGCTTTCAAGTCTTTCGAGCATAAAAGCAGAGACTGAAGAGAAGTAGAGTCATTTGGCATTGACACATTTCATTCCACACTGGTTTAGTCAGTAAATATATGTAATGTCAGGTTTTACAAATTCTCAACATTTTAAACAAACAAACTGAACGTAAGACACATTTTCTTGAAAAGCTACTCAACCTCTCTGCCATTCAGTGATACAGTGGAGTTTTTTCTGTGATACTTTTAAAAAAACCAAAACAAAAAATTCAGTGAAAAGACTCTACATTTAAAAAAATCGACGCAATACATTTTTAAGAAGCCAAACTGGGTAGAAACCCGACAGCTTGGCCTGGTTTCAGAGATTGTAGGGAGGAAGCAATAGATATTAGGGTGATGGTAATTTAAACGATTTAATTTTCAATATTTTTTTTTGGGGGGGGGATGCCTATCTCATTTTTTGCTTCAAACTTCTGGAATGAATGAATATAATTTTACATCTAAATTTGCAAGACGATGTGGGCTTAGTTTCGTAATTATTTGCAACAGCAGGAAATGTAAGGCAAAACATATTACTCATAGACGTGACAAAATGTAACGATTTAAAAAATAAACCAAAATTATTCATATTTAAATCCCCATGAATCACATTTTCAGAGACAAACATACACAGCAGGATAAGAACCAGTTTGACAGTAGCTTCAATAAAATCTTTACTTCACCATTGCATTCTATTTTTACCTTCTCTCAACCTATTGATACCTTTTTTTGTGCCATTTTAATGTCAATTATTTTTTCTTTTCTTCAAGAATGTATGCTTTATTTGCTCATTAAACCAAAAGAAAGAAAACAAAACCAGTTTTACCTTTGTTTATTAAAATTCCCCTTTTTGTTATAGACTTTTCCTTAAGGTTTTTTTTTTTTTTTTGGTGAGCTAGAGTGCTTGTAACTGGTTTTGGGACATTTACCCTCTGTTGTCTGAAATCATTGAGAGGAATGTGAAACCAGATAAAACTGGTGGAAAAAAGAACAGGGTGTGTTATCACCAGCCACACCTTTAGGTGACGATGTCCTGACTTCCTCTGGCACATGATTCAGGACGTCATGGGCATACAGTTAGTTTCCTGAAAGTCACCATAATGACACTTGATTACACAATGATTACACTTTTTTTTTTTAGACTAAAAAGAAAAGTAAGCAGCACAGGTACAACAGTAATAGTTTTAGAAAATAACACCTGAAGTGTTTTCAAGCATTTTGTCTGCTATTCTTTTGGGCTAGATCAATAAAACAGTAAAACATAGGAGTTAAAGTCACCTAAAAACACATTTAATGAAGCTAATCAATTTTAACATAGGCTACTGCTCGTCCAATGTATTCCAAGTGTCCTGAGTGGGTAGCGTCCAGAATTTACTCGAAACAAAGTCATTTAGAATGTTTTTAGAGCATAAACAGTAGTGTATAGGATTTCCTAAAAGCGCGTTCATGCGAGTTCACGAGTCTACGGAAACCGCGGCAGACCAATTGAGAAACGCACAGAGTGCCAGAAAGTGCTAAAAAAAAAAACTGCTTTTCTCAGGAC